TCGACGACGTATACTGCTCTTTTTGCGCCCAGCACGAAGCACCAAAGCATGAACAGGCAGTGAACCCGGCGCGTGCAATCAATGATACCGGTGCGAAATTCGTTTGGATTTCATTGCGCCGGGTTTCATTCCCAGAGGGAGCGAATCTCTGATCGGCTACATTTGCAGCAGCCTTTCACCACACAAGCCCCTTTGAACAAGTTGAATTTCAGCCACCAATGTTACCGGAGCCGCGATACTTGTGCCTGTAATTACAATCGTCATGGGAAACGCGAGAGGTCAGCAAGCAAGTCGCCGGTGGAATTCACGAGTAGAAAGCCGACTGCGTAATTAAAAACAGGGCTCTGGAAGAGTGGATTAAATGAAATAAATATGCCGTCCCGTGGGTGCACCTCATGGTCCGCTGCCTTCAGTGTTTGTGTTCAGGATCTTGGCTACGGTGAGTTTGAGCCTCGCCAGATAAAAAGAACAATGGCAGATCCGTATAGATTCCCTCAAAACGTGAGTCGTTTCCGTAGGTTTTCTTTCTCGGAATCACCTGCACTTGCGACAATTTTTTTGTCACAATCCTTCAGGAGAATAATTACACACTCATTGTTATTTCTAAAGTACGATGAAGAAAAAAATAAACAAAACAAAATTATGAATTACAAAACTCTTTCTTAGAACCTCTCGTTTAGAAGATACGCTGGTCTTTAGAAAATAAATTTAAAATCCATTATGTCATTTTGGCGTTCTGGGTTAGAGGGAACATTGATTGCTCAAGCGGTCGTCAGGAAGTCATTAGCCTAACGTAAAGAATTTTGCAAATTTAACCGCTACAGAATCCGTCCAACTTTTTATGAAACACTTGCGTAATTGAGCAGAAATTGTATTTTTCATACTTAACAAAAATCTACAGTAAATAATTTTATTCAATTCGTTCGTGTCAAATTATTATTTCTTGCTGGACAAATTTATTCCTTTTCACTTATTTTAAAAGAGACAGTCTGGTGCTTTTTTTCATATGCTAAATTTGCTTGGGTTGGAACTCGGCCACACTGCCTACAGCTGAAATGAGCGTTCGCCATATTTTTTCATTGTTGCTTTTTGTTTCCAAAGCCAAATCCGAGCCAAGTCTCGCGGTACCATTTTGCGCCTAGCATGGGACTGCCGATGAATATAGCGTGTTAAAATTTTCCCCATCTGCCGTCCGTGGCAATGAGCACCCTGCGATCTTCTGGCGCCCAAACTTCCTTGATCGCAACCAGTGACCGTGAAAACGCCTTTTTACTTTCAAGATTCGCTCACCCCGCACAGATCAAACCAAAAGTTTACTTTCTTTTCTAGCAAGATGCATCGATGCAAATTTCCTGAACTGCCATCAAGATTTAAAGCAGTGAAATTTGCGATGAAAAAGATAATTTTTTTTGTGATTTCATCATTTTATATTATGCAAGGATTTGAAATGTATAACGCAAGGGAAGCTTCAAATATTTAGATCAAAAATTAAATGCTAAAATATCAATCCAAATTAATGTAAATATAACCATGGTTTAATCCTGGAATTAAAAAAAGATTAGAATAGAATACATCCTGTAAAATGCACATTACAGAGGGGAGCAAACGTAATCTGCAATAACTCTGAAATTACAACTGCCCCCTATCATTTATTCCTGTCTCTCGGAGCAGAACAAAAGCGACCCGCCGTTTTGTCCGCGTGTAGTGTGTACCGAAACGAGCACCGCGCCCTTTTTATTTATGTACCCACCTGCCCGTCTGCGCTGCTACCGACATGCAAATCATTTATCAACCCTTGCTCAGCAGCAGTCTCGGCACGTACAAATAATCATAATAATTGGCCTTTGTTTCCCGGAATCGTTTGTTCCCGTGCACCGAGCGTGATCTCCGCAAACTCTTCAAATTCCGTTGCGCAAAAACCAAAGCTCCCCGCCGTCGTCGCGCACCATTTGCAATTCTAATGCCGCTAATTCAAGTTACGTAGAATTTCTGCTGAAATGCAAATCGGTGAATAAAATTAACTTGTCTAGTCGCTGGAGGTAAAAAATAATAATATTAATAAATCAGGTCGTGAAGAGATGCACGCCAAGCTATAATTATAAATAATTGTGGAATTTCAACAGCCGGGGAAAAAATAAATCTACTTATGATTGCCAGCCGCCCACCTTGCATTCTACAGGGTGACACGATGCGTGTGACGATTAATATTTAATTAAAGGATACGTCCATCTGACTTTTTATTTTCTCGAGCAGAGCGGAGAAAAATGTGGGCTTTGTTTATTCGCTCTGAAAAGAAAATGACGAGTGCCGCCGGCGACTTCTTGGTATTTTGATGCTTCTGGAAAAATTCTCTTGTCTGCAAACTTTGCGGACAAAAGTTTCAACTCGTAGCGAATGCAAAAACTTGACTTGCAAGTTTCTTGAGACAAAGGAATTAATTTTGTGAGAGCAGAGATTTTTTAAAAATCGAATTCTAACAGTTTATATCTCAAGCCTTTTATTAAGATATATAAAATTTATCAAGGCAGCAACGTAATGGCAAAAGTAACTTTCTTTAAACCGCAGTAAGGTGTAATTTCATTATTCATTACTGGCCCGTTCAAATGCAAGTACACCGTAAAATAATTTAGTTCACGACTCATTTAATTCAAAATCAAGAGCACTGTTACGCTGTTTGTTTCTTATTGAGCGTCATGCGCGCGGTAATCCGCCTAGCAGGAAGCACTTTCTCCGCCACGGCCTCTGGCCACTTTCTTACGGCACATTATTTCCTCCTGTCGTCGTCGTCACTTTGCACCAAATCGCCCACTGGCCTCTTCAACAATGCGAAAACCAACAACAGCTGCTGCAGTTGTAAAGATGCTGGTAGCTGGTGGCGGCTCTAATGAAGAAGGATGAATTCCATCGTTCGTCACGTTACGCAACTCAATTAATAATTCGGTGGGAGTCGCTTTTTGAGAGGCGATGCGAATTGGTACAATTATCAATTATTGCGGTTTCAATCGAGATGGCTCTCACTCTGGATGAAATATATATTTCACCCACGGGCAGACGGAAGTTTGGAGAAACTCAATTGGGATCACAATAGTTGAACTCTGTGTGAAATTACGGTTTTGCTGTTTAGCAACTCTGTGGTAGAGAATCGTGCCAAATCGTGCAGCTCGAATCAATAATTAATGAGCTTAAGTTTTCACCAATTAATTCGTGTTGTAAGTTCTGCCGTTTTTATTTGTGGAAAAATAATCTATCGGATTAAATTTTAATTGCCAAGGTCAAATTAGGAACGTTGCAAACAAAACAAACATATTTTTTTGCATATTGTTGAAAACAAATTATAATAAACATTATTTTGTCCTTTGGCTATCAATTTGGCATTGATCGTGCTAACTAGCGATTATTTTCTCGTAGAAAGGGCTTCCTAGAATGATCTTTGTGTGCCCTACGCGCCACGGCACACTGGTTACATAAATCGACTCGTTGAATAATCATAACAGCAGCGACGTTCGAAACGAAAGTAGTTCAGGCCGTCGCTACTTTTCAATTGCCGACATGCGAAGTATTACGAATGGCACCGCCGCGTCTCTACGACCGTCTAGCTCCCGTTCCTTCCTCCCAATTTCTCATCCTGCCACCCACTTTGGCACCGGGCCTGCATCTCGCCCCCATGTGCAAAAAAATCAGACGATTTTTTGTGAATGGAAACTTATTTTTGCTCAGTTCCCGACAATCGGTGGCCAAAGTCCCTTCAGACGATAAGATTACATTTATCATTTTAATTTAATAAGTGGTAATTAAAGAAAATTAAGATTAGAAAAATTTCTTCTGCAAACTCTTCTTAAATGGTTATTTGATAGAAAATTATTATTGATTGCTTTTACATTTGCAAAGCAATATTAAAATAAAAATTTTGCCATTTATAAAAAAGTCATTGAACTGGGTTTGTCTGCATTTTCTACTTTCGTGCAGCCTTTTTGCTATTCCGACGTCGTGGTGGCCACGGTTTGTTTTGATAACTCTTGAATGGAAATTCTGTTTCGGGAGGAAGTTCATTCCTTCTTCTTTTGGCTGAATGTTTGCCTTGGTGGATAATGGAGTTGTTGATGAGAGTTGTTAACATAACAACGTGGCTCTTTTCAGCGTACACGCGGATGGCAGGCGGTTTGTTTGTGAAGCGCCTCTTACCCATAATAATGAATTTTTGTTCGAAAACGAGGGGATGCGGAAGAGGCTGCCTCGTAAAATCTAAATTAACTTTCTCAATTTCAAACATCTCAAGACGAATAGAGACTCCAAGAAAAATAATTCAATCTAAGATCTACTAATATAGAATTAACCAGATTTTATCTTGAAAAGCATGATTATGCATTTTAACTAAGTTTTCATTAAGTTTATATTTTGCCGTATTACTTTTCTTGTCAAAAAAGGATTCATCATAGAGGAGAACAAACGGCGTTTGCAAAATTAGAAATTTGCATAATCAAAGAGCAGAGCAACAATTAAAATTCATAACGCCCGCGGCGAGCAAGTCCACCTCGTTGAAAGTGTCAAAGAGAATAGGGCGTGCCCTGCTCGGCACCAACCACTTGTCTCAATAACAGACCAAGAGCAACATAAACGCGCGACGAGCATCTTTTTATGCTGCTGCTTCTCGCCTTTGGCTCGACTTGTTCGCCAGTCGGTCGCGAGCCTTTTCCCAGGCACGGCTGCTCTCTCACGCAGATTAATCCAATTCTTTTGCTCTTCACACTGCGCGTATTCATTCGCACATTAACAGTCCATGGGGGAGTACAAGTGCGAACTTGTCTACTCGTACCTGCAAGAAAAGGAGACCCACGTGCGTATTAGCCGGGCTCTCCAGAAAGTAGGCAACCAGCACTTCTTCCCTTTCCTTTTTTTCTCATTCCAATTCAACCCTTCGCTTGGGTAGTTTCTGTAGATTAGATTATCTTGATTGAATTAGTGGAATATGTGCTGACCTCAGGGGTGATGGTGTGTTGCAGGGTGAACGCGACGAGTTGGCCAAGGCGCGAGAGGAGCTGGAACGGAGGGTCGAACAGAGGGATGCCCAGCTGCTGGACAAGGACGAGGAGCTCTTTCTGCAGCTTGAGAAAGTCGTGCGTTTGGAAGAGGAGTGTGACAAGGTATGTAATTTAAATATCTACACATGAGTTTGATCAATTCCTAAATTTTTCAACCACACAGTATGGAAATATAATAAATGAAAACGGAAAATATTCTGAATAGGAATCCTAAAATTATTTATTCTAGTTTATTTAATCAACTATTTTATTTTGTGAGATATTTGTTTAGTAAGTCTAAAATTTTGATTTTCTAGTTTTTTTTCTCTTGAAAATTTGCGAGGCATATAATTTGACGTTTAATGCCATACAAGAGCTTTTGCTAGTTGCTCGAAGTCACGCGATCTGAATATGCGCCTCAGAAATAAATGACACTCGCTCGGTTCGCAATCATAATATTTCAACCAATCTTGACGTTTTCTGGTTCCTCCGCTAAAATCCAGCCTTCACGCTAATTTTCACACATATTCGAATTCCTCTTCAGCGCAAGCACGGTTATAAAATTAATTTCCGCGATTCCCGCTGCGCACCACATTTAGTTTGGTCCTCTAATTAGAGCCGGCGTGGAGATTTAATTAGCACAATGCATCACGGGTCGAGTCTTCTTCGCATTAAATTCATAATAACTTGCACGGGATGGAGTGGTTTAAATAATTCAGCGCCTCCAGGACGAAATTATTCCCCCTTTCTCAAAGCCAAGGTCTCAAACGGCGCGAGAACTCTATCCCATTGTTGATGGGACTGACCTTCTTTGGGTTGATAAGACTATAATTGGCGTCATATTTTTTAACGTGAAAAGGAAATGTTTTCTTTTTTTTTCATCTGACGTTTGCAGCTGCAGAGACGCGCCGAGAAATTAAAATTATTGTTTAATTGCACGGAGGCGGGACGTGTTTTATTGGAGGCCGTTTTAATGAAGACCTTTCTTTGCCCATCTAGCTTGTTAAGAAATGCAAACAGAAGCCGCCGGTACTTTTTAACATGGGCGGCAGGTGATTTACGGAATATGTTTGATTTATTTCTACGTGGGCTCCAGAAAATTATGCTCACCGTTTTATTGCTTAGGCTGTAAAATTTTACGAATATGATTATGGCTTCCAAATTCCAAATTAGCAATTAGTTCCATGTTAAGAAATCAAGCTGTGCAAGTAGTGGAAAATATCCCGACTAAAAATCGGAGCACCGTTAGTGTCAAGAAGTTTATTAATTAAACTTTTAAGAGAAAGAAAAGTAAAGAAAGCTTTGATTTATAGATGGTTATATGACAGATGATTTCTTCCGGGGCTTACTTTTGGCAACAGACTTTTAAAATGAACGTCATAGTTGAATAATCCACATCGTCATGAACACATACTTTTACTTTCTTGCGAATTTAGTGAGAGGGAGACCTTCCGCTTACAATTTAAATCACCTCGTTTCCTTTGAATGATCTGAATTTTTGACTTTTTTCTTAATGAAATTTGGTTTCAGCTGCGCGCCGAGAAGGAACGGTTTTTGGATTTGCAACAGAAGCTACAGGCGGAAAGGGATGCCGCCCTGCGACAGGTACAGTCATGCGAAATTCAAGAGCCCCCCATAGAAAGACCGCCCCTTCCTGACCCGGCCCTTTTATGGCAGATGAGAGCTCAGGCTGGCCAGTCCGAGTTCCAGCGGAGAAACCTGGAGCGGGCTCGTTTTGACGCAATTCACCAGGCCACCCTGATCTCTGCCGAGAAGAACATGCTCGAAAAAGAGGTGAGCGTTTTTCATTCTCACGTTCGGACGATTCACTTGAAATCACACCCTTCACCGGACACTCTTGTTATTTACTAACCTAACACACAATGCAAATTTTATATGTGTCTTGTTTTTCACTTGCACATGGATATCAGGTAACACACACAGTATTAATGTCACCGCTGTTCGCATATTTCTGATCAAGTGCAATTCGAGAGTGTGATATTGATACTTTGATTCTTCATTCCAGAATGAACGTCTCCGGCGAGAGTTGGAGGAGGAAAGACAGGGCATTGGAAATTTCCTGGAAGATTTGTCCGAGCAGAAAAGCCGGGCCAGCCAAAGTGTTGCTGTCCTCGAAAAAGAGGTATAAAAACACACAACACATAATTTAAAATCACTTAAATTTGAATCAAAGATAAATTAGTATTTTTTAATAAATTTTTTAAAACTTTCCAAATTATAATATATAAATCTAATTTTGCAGCTCTCTGAACTTCAAGTTTCTTCACAACAAACTGCCATGCTCAATAGTCAGTTTAAAAAGGCAATGAAGCACCTGGCCACTTGCAAGAGGAAAAAGTGCTCTGTTTGCAGCTACACCAAGGCCACATTCGGAGATTATGCTGACCGCTTCAGGCACCAGTGAGTTTTATACTCCGCAGCCTCACTTTTATTTTAGTAATTTTTGAATCTAAATCGCTTAATTTTGTGCCCAGGCGAAAACTCTTTTCCTGCATTCAAGCACCTCTGGAGGATTTGCGGCAGTGGATCCGGCCGTCGTCCTCCATGGACAAGCACTCTTTGTCTGGCAGCCAAAACGAGTCCGAGGAGGCAGGCTGTTCTTTGGATCATGAAGACTTGCTGCACTCGTCGCCAACCAGGGCACCCGCAGTGTCCGGACCCTCTGGTCTGTCCTACATTGACAGTGACGAGAGTAGTGAGAGCAGCGAAGCAGAAGACGAAGAGGTACTCGACACAAGTGCAAGCAGAAAATGGCAAATAACTTTTTCGTTACGCTCACTATTCAGTGTGTAACCCTTTTTGGAACTTTGCATTCTACTGCAAACCTCACACACTTTGTCCGTCCGATAACATGAGAGTTGAAATGATTTACTATTATTTTTCTTCCATGTAATGCTGACCAAGTAACAAGCTAGGCTTTTGCAGTAATCAAAAGTTATTAACTTATCCCTGACTGAGTATAAAGCTCGCTAGAATGTAGCTTGCGATTTGTACAAATCTTCAGATCACTTATTCAATTTAATTTCTAACCATCCTGCACTATCAAAAAGTACAGCCTGATGTAAACAGTTTTGCCATTATTTGCTTTTGTTGTTAACCCTTCTCTTAATAGGAAAAAAGTGATAAACCCAGGTGACTAACGTTGACTTTTGGTTTTAGGTTAGTACAACAAGCTACGACGAAGAAGAAGAAGATGAAGAGGAGCAAGAGTTGGCTGTCTCATCTTTGCCCACCGACGTCTCATTGACCTCCAACTCGACTGCCGCACGGGCCTTTTCCTCCGACTCTGGCTTCTCGTCTGAGCTGTGTGACTCAAAGACAGCGGGAATGGGCGAAGCCACTCCGTCTCCCCCTCCCAAAACAGCCCTCAACAGGTCCAAGTGGACAGCTTCGTTCAGGAAGTTGATCCACAGAGTCTCCAAGAGGTAAAAAAGAGCCTAGAACACGGATGTAAATATACTTTGACTGCGGTTATTCAATGCGGAATACGGGGCTCAAACCTTGACTTGCTGTTTAGAATTTTGAATGATTTCATCTTCTCTGGGCCTGTGTTTCATCCTCTTGAGACTCGGCACTTGTTGCAACTTCTGTTCAGTATTTTGGTACAGCAACAGAAAACAAATAGAACCAGGGCTCAAAAGTTTGTTTAGCATTAGCTTTTATTGTAAAATATTTTTTAACGCTGCAAAATTAGTTCAACTTACTTTTTATAACCTCAGTATTATTCACTACTCAGTTTCACGTACTTAAATAATTTAATAACAGTAAATGAAATTTTGGCAGGCGCTGTCATCTTTCTCTCTTAGATTAGCCACATTTGCATTTTGCTCCCAAAGCTACTTGGCCCTGGTATTTTTAATCTATGAAGAAGCCGCAAAATTGTATTCAAGCTCTCTTTCTCTGTTGTCTTGCCATGGACTGCTGTTACCCTTTTACTCTCATTGAACTGCACATTCTCCATTACATACTTAACTGTCAGCAGTCTTTTAAGTGACCACTGTACAAATGCATTTAGAAAACAGAGACAAGAGTTTAAAAAGAAAAATGCTGTCACGCTGTTGTTGCATCATCGGATCAAATGTTATGCACTTACTTAGAATGTACTTAAGCTATTGAATAATGTGGTGCCATTAAGGAGAGGGAGGATGAGTTTTAACGAAGAGTTCTTTATCCAGACATGGTGGAAATATTCCTAGTAAGTGATGGCGCAAGCTGATCGTCTTTCCTCTGTTGCGACTATCGCTCTACGATCAAGAGGCTTGCGGGTGCCTTTGCTATGATAAATTAAAAGCGCCTGGTTTCGGACCGATACTTTTCTTGACAAACTGTGAGCAGGCTTTGTGTCCATGGTTATGCTGCTTCTGCCAATTAATTAAGTGGCGCGCGTTCTGTTGATTGATGTTTGATTTTGCTTTCAGATGTCAACGTCGTCACGCCTTTGCAAATTAAAAAAAAGACATGATTGATCTATGATTACCTCTTTTTGTTGCAATTTTTAGTTCTCGCCTTTTCAAAAGGCTGAGAGCAAAAGTAATCAAATGCAACGTGAATTCTGATCACGAGACTCAAGTTCTGCCTGATTTTTCTGCTGCTATAATTGTAAAAATGTTTTATTGAAAGCTTTCAAGTATTATTCTCATTCATGCCACACATTCCAATAGTTTTTCTGGACTCAAAACTGTTTGGTCTCCAACTGCTTTGGAGAATGGGGTTGGTTGTTTTTCGATTGGCACGATTCGGAAGGTTGCCGAAATTTTAGTCTGAATAAAATGATTTTTAACCCTCGGAGATTCTCAACTGGTTGAGAATTTTCAGAGAACAGTTTTAATTTAAAAAACGAAGTGGGAGCATTCTTTGAGGCAACAAATAGTTTTGAATTCCCCATTGAAATCAAACACTATTTAATACTTGCAAAGCTGACTGTGAATCCAGAAGGGAAAAACTTTTGTCATGTCTCATTATTTCATTTTGATCAAATCTGCGAACCAATAGCGTCTTTTTCTTTTGAGCCAAACATCCCCAAAATGCTGATCCAATCTAACTTTTGTTTTTTTACACAGTTAATTGTGATTTGATTTTTTTCTTGATAATGGCAATAACACACCATGTAGTTCAGTTTGTTAGGGTATCAAGATAAATGAGAAAATTTAAAAGAGATGATATTAAACTTGAAAATATTTTGTAGAGTGGTGCAATATAATGAAAAGAAATATTTAGTGGGTTCCCATTGGACAGGGTAAACTTGAAAATTTGGATTTTAATGCATAGTTTAAATTGCCTGTTCAATGTCTGGATTTGAAACCTTTTGTAAATATTGAAAGAAATAAAAACTGCAAGTATAATAACATTGCAATAACAAGAGTTTTCAGTTATTCTATTGACACCCCACACTTGTAAGTGTTGACTGTTTTTTTTTTTACTATTTTCAAGGTCCGCGCGTCAGCAACAATGAAAAATGATTTGATTGTTGTTTGAGCTCTCTGATTGGGTACAAGTAAAATTGTACCCAATCAGAGAGCTCGACAACAATCAAAATTTTCTGACGAGCGGACCTTGACTATTTTCAAAAGGGACTTTTTTAAATTTTCGAATGTCAGAAGTCAGAATTATCTGAAATAAAACTTGCTCCATCAAAATTTTTCATGATTAATTAGCCAAATTTAATGCAAAAACAAGTGCTACATATAAACATATTAATCATTATTTAAACGAAAAAAGTTCTTTGTGACAATAAGCATTGTAACAAAATTTGGTAGAAATTTTAAGTTATAAATTACAAATGTATCAAGAATGTGGTGAATTTTTATCAAGTTTTATTGATCTCAATCAATAAAATCTGGTGGAGATCTCTATGCTGCTTGAAAATGAATGGAATGAAGAGAAATCACCAGCCAAATCAGAGCTCTGTTTTATCACTTTTCTCTTTGACCACTGAGTCATCGGAGGGCTGCTCCAGCAGGCAAGAGTCGTCATCTCCTTTCAGGGCTCTCTCCGAACAGAGGTAGGTTTGCAGCGGCACTTCGCCTTGATGGTTGAAGTACCACTCCTCAATTGCTTCTTCGTTTTGCTCCAGCAGCGTCTCGCACTAAAAGAAAGATTAAATATAAAAATCTATTTTTTGAAAAGAAGCATCAGATATATTCACCTGGGTTTTCATGTTAGTAACTTCTGCTGGAGGTTTGTCCCAAAGTTCGTACGGTATACCAAGCTCGACTTTGACTCCCTTGTCACTAAAAAAAAAAATGGTTAAATCAATTGATTATAAATCTAACTTATTTTAAGTTTTTGTTTATTTCCCCACAGATAAAAAATAAATAAGACTAAAAAATAGCTCACACAAGCCCATGCAGAGTTTTGAAGGTTTGGCTCATCCCTTTGGCAAACCTGGTGCTGTCCTCCCTTTCCTTGTGCAGATTGTAATCCAGCACCCGTTCGCACAGACCCTCCAAAGACTCAACTAGTCTGAGCTCCCTGAAAACGATCAACGTTTAATAATGAGTTCATTGATTATTAATAAGGTAAATTTTTTCTATTACGATTTTGTGTATTGCGTCTTCTTTTTGGACTTCTCTATTGAATAGCCAGTCTCAATAACTTCGCTGGTTTTGCTTGTCTCCTCCAGACGCCCTTCAAGCTCAGTCGATAGAATTTTGCACACTGGAAAATTTTCAGATATTAAAAACCATTAAACTGTTGTACATATAGATAGTTCAGAGAACGTATGATCAAACCTTCGCATTTGCTTGCATATTTAACGCCCTCGCTCTCCTCTTGGCCACTAATTGCCAAAGATACCGAATAAAAAAGGGTTGCAATGGTTAAGAAATCCATGTTTATTTTACGGAAAAATCTTAAATCACTCGTTCATTAAAATATCACAAAGTCAAATACAACGGCAACAAATTTGCCATACCAACAAAAAACAACAATACATATCCAGCTGATCGAGTCCACCCCACCACGGATACCACGAGCAGGCTGCGGATTGGCTGTGCAGCCCAGGTTTTTGAGAATTTGCTGCAATTGGCGCCAATAAATTGCACTTTCGGTCAAAAACGTGGTAAAAAACAACATAATTATTTATTTTTGTGGTAGAATTTCACGATCGAGGGTTGATTCATGGTGATTTGAATTTAAAATCGGCTTTTCCTCGATGGGTTTTTGTGAGTTGTTTATTGTTTGAGAAAAAAAAATTTTTTTGAAAAAAGATTTATTTTTGTACTAATTTTTGTCAAAATGTTTTCGCAGCTCATGAATTATGGCTGCAGCCCGCAGCCGAAACATGCTGTAGAGCAGGATATTGTTTTTTCTGAAACAATAAACAACTCACAAAAACCCATCGAGGAAAAGCCGATTTTAAATTCAAATCACCATAATTATTTATTTTTTATTCTCAGATAATTTTTAGTGTACGTGTGTGTGATTTTTTTTTGTTCTTATTAATGTAGAGTAGAGTGTTTTGTTTGTGTTGTATAGTGTAAAGCAGTTTCAGGGGTCAATTTTTAAGAGGTTTTACGTGGATTTACTGAAAATGTAAATTTTTGAGCCATTTTAAATATTAATTTATCAATTAAACGCCAAAATTTTGGTTTGTATGCCATTATTTAAAGCCAAGTGTTTCTCGCACAGTTTCAGTAAATCCACGATGGGGGGTACAAAAGAAAATCTGGGCAACTTTGGTCAGCGAATATCTTGCTTGGTTCTGGAGAAGAAAGAACCACACTCCTTTCCTGCGCAAGAAGTATGTAGTTAATTTTAGCTTATTTTATTTTGCTAAAATAGATCTAGTTTATTTTCTATTTTCTATTCATTATGGTTATTTGATTAAAAAATTTTAGGTAAATTGTAAGCTGTTATCAATAAATATATCACTTGCACTTTCCAGGAGTTGATTATTTGAAGAAAAAAATCCAATGGAATCAAAATAACTACAATTCCTACAAATGCAGTAATATGCAGATCATGGACCCATGGTAATGAAGTAAGATAAAATTAAGTATTCAATTTTTTAACAAATTAAGCTTTTAGATATATTTGCGATATTATTACCTTTTATTCGTATCACCATCACCAAATTAGTTTTATGATATTGCTTGAGCTGTGTGTTGTTTTGTTTTTTACGAAAGCTGAAAGCTTGCAGGCGGTGCGCGCTAGACACGCCGCGCTTTTCGACTAAAAAATAAACAAAGTCGCATCGAGGTATTTAACAATATGGCTGCCGTCTGCAGGGTTCGAATTGCAGGCGCCAATTCGTAAGCCGTTAAAGTGAAAACACAAAGTTGACATCGATGCACGTCAACTGAAGACTTTCCATCTTATTAGACTTTCATATCCCGTTCCAGGGCGTTTTGATCTTTCTCAGGGACATCTCTGGAAAACGGTAAGCGTCAATTTACGCGAGCCAATGGCGAATAGTTCGGGATTTCGTTCAAAATGTCACTCAAAGTTCGGCCGAATGGCTTTCGTGTTAATGACATGTTCATACTTTTGCGTTCAAGTTATTTGGATTTTAATCCCCTGGAAGCCTCCGTAAGCGATTTATCAACTAAAGTTGAGTTACAAATTTCAGCCAAAATGCCGAAAAAAGACGATAACAAGGCAAAGCCGAAGTTGAAACGAGCTGCCAATGGTTTTGTGATGGCATTGAAAGTGCCCCTGGGAGAAGTGCTCACGGACGTCGCTAAGAAGAAGTGGGTCGTCGGCCCACCCATCGGTCAGGGTGGTTTCGGCACCATCTACTCAGGTTAGACCAATTTTACAAAAATTCTACAAATTTTTCTTGATAATGTAATGAGGTCGGCGACATCGGCGTCAGTCCTTTCACTTTGGCAAGTGCGTGACCTTGCCGTGTTTACAAATTGTCTTCCTGGTTTATTCGCCGGAAGTCAAGCGAATTTAAATGCCTCATCTAAGAAAGTCTCATTTGGCCTTGAATTTTCAGCTCGAGAGGAGTGTGGCAATCCAAAGGATTATCCTTTTGTAGTGAAGATTGTAAGTTTTCTCTAAACAAAAGTGAGGTATAAATTTATGCTCGGCACTTTCGTAAATTCCAGGAGCCACATGAAAATGGACCGTTGTTTGTTGAGATGCATTTTTACATGAAATGCGGCAAACCAGAACAAAGTAAACAAAGTGGTTTTTTGTTGGGAAGAAAATTATATTTTTTTATTTTCAGTCGAAGAGTACTTGAAGCAGAAGAAACTGCCACACTTGAATCTCCCCCAGTATCTTGGATCTGGATCTCATGAAATCAAGGGCATGAAGCACAGATTTGTAGTGACCAACAAGTTTGGAGAAGACCTGTGGTCCATTTTCAAACTTCACAAGAAGTTCCCGTTTGGCACCATCTTGCGTATAGCTCAGCAAACCGTAAGTTTCCCAGTATTATCCATTTTTTAATTTGAAATAATTTAAAGAACATAATTACAAAAGCAGTTTAAAAAAAAATTACATTCGTAATTAATTTTTTTTGCTTCTCTGTTGCAGTTGCAAGTTCTTGAGTACATACACAGCAAAGACTATGCCCATTGTGATGTTAAGGGTGCCAACTTGCTAATTGGGAACACATCCAGCACTAAAAACAGGGTTTACTTGGTTGATTTTGGCCTTGCATCACGATGCACTTCTGATGCTGTTTACACCGAGGACGCTAGAAAATCAAATAATGGAACAATCGAATATCTAAGCAGAGATGCCCATAGAGGAGGTACTTGCAGAATTTTGTTCCGTTTTAATAAATATTTACTCCCATTCTCTGCAGTTGTGACGAAGAGAGGTGACTTGGAGGTTTTGGCCTTTAACATGATTCACTGGCTGTGTTCCACCTTGCCTTGGGAACAAGTGATTGCTATGGATAAGAAAGGAAAGGAAAAGACTGTTGAGGAGATGAAAATTAAGTTCATGGAAAATATCTCGGAGAGCTTGAGTGAGCTGAAAATAGCTCAGGCAGAGAAAGGTATTTTTTCCTTCAAATTGTTCAAAATTTAAATCTACTTCAATTATCTTCACTGCAGCATTCTTGAAGAAGTTTTTGGAGAAAGTAAAAAGCATGGGCCACTTGGATAAGCCTGATTACAAGACGCTGAACAAGATGATTTCCGACGCCTTGCACGTTACTGGGTTCAAAGAGACCGGACCTCTGAATTTCTCTGCTACGAAAACATCTCCTCGAGGTGTATCAAAAGCTCGCTCGGCTAAGAGGGCAGTGCAAGAGTCTGAAGACGAGGTTGAAGAAGAATTAGTTCCTCCCAAGAAGAAGGGCAAAACAGCTGAAAGTAAGCGTAAAAAGTAGCTTTTTAACATTTTGCATTTATTCTGGTTTTGCTTTTGTAATAAAGTGTGCATTCCGCTTCCATTCATTTGGCAATAAAATTGTCACTAACCTTTTTCATTATCCATCAACACTCATCATTAGATTTTAATTATTACTTTTGTCACATAAGATGCCAACTTGTTACATATTATTTTAATTTTTTACCAAACCTATTATTTTAGAAGTCACTCCTGAAAAAGCACCCAGAGGCCGCAGTCGTGGTTTGGCGAGCCAAGCTAAAGAGAGTGACAGCAATGATTTAGCCAAGTTGTTAAAAAGTGTGCAAGCTGAATTGATTGTTGGCATCTTAACCATGTGAGACAAATTTCAGAGTCTGAGAAAACTCCAAAGGGCAGGAAAGCTAGGCAGAGCATGAGTTCGGAAGAAGAAAACCTTGTAGAAGGCGTCAAGCCGGAGAATCCTAGGCCTAGGAGATTGGGTATAATAATGAAAGCAGCAAAGAGACCAACTTAATATTGGCTTGTCACACAGGGAGGTCTGTGCTTGCTAAGATGGAGGCTGAGAAGGCAGCTGCTGCAGCACAGAAAAACGGAACTGCACATCTGAATGGAAATTCGTCATCCTCAAGCAAGGACAGTGATACCACCCCTGAGAAGAAAACCAAGAAAAAGAAGGGTAAACCTATGGAGGGTTAATCTATTAGCTTATTCAACAAAAATTTTAACCTAGGTGCCGAAAAAAATAAAGGAACAGGGATCTGGAAACTCTGCCCAACAGTTATGAACAGCAATGTGGAGACGCCTGGAACTTACAGCCCTCCAGCCAACGCCCCGAGTAGGAATAAGAAGAAGTGAAGATTATGATGAGTGATATTGAATTTCAACAGTTTGGGGTCTCCCCACTGTCATTCCAAAAGACTCAAAATTTATCCTAAAACAAGTGACTTTAAACGGACTGAAATATAAATATTAACACTGGAAAGCATGTGAAAAATTAGCTGCAAACCCATCTGCCATTAATTCTTCATTTAATTAATTTTTCTGATCCCCACATACTCTACTTGGGACAATTATTTGCCCTTAAATCGCACATGCTTCACTTTGAAAATAATATTATATTGTTATCTACAATAGTTGCAATGAATCCCTTATAGAAACATCACAATTTTACATTTAAAACTGTCCCATAGCTTGAAAGCAGTAGCATAATATAATCAAGTACATAGCAATGCAAACAGCTGGTTTAGAGGTGAAATTATTGGTGGTCAGTGCATTTCACTTGTTAATCATTTTCCCATCGCATAAAAGCATATGATATTGTTTTCTTGTATAAAAAAGAGCGGAATGGATTGAGTCCAGTATTAGTATACTAGGCGGTATGCCATTGGTGCAGCTAATGGAAGTGAGCGCTTACCAGTTTGGAGATATCGTGAATTGTGTAATGATTTAACTTCATTGCAATTTTTTCATTAATTATCCATTGCATTTCCCTGACTAATTTTCTTTGAATTGCTTATTTTATGAATATTGAGAATTAAGTATAATTATAACACACACTCAGTTGCTAATTTCCCAGGTAATTAGAAGTTTTACATGCCGTGTATTTAATTTAAACTGTTATTTTCATGAAGATTCTCTAGAATATAAATAAATTTCCAACCAAAAATATCCATATGTTGTACAGGTGTATATTATTCAACTTTCCTATTGTTGAAGTTGAGCATTGTTGCACACAAACATTTTTGTCTTGTTAGTTGATTCCGCAGAAATGGATTCCCACACGAGTTTGGCAAAGGCAAACATTTATGAGCGGTGGTACCAGAAGAGAGGAAAGGCTAAAGTTGCGGAGGCCCAGAAAATCAAGAACGAGAGAATGCAGAAACTCAAGCTGAAGCCCCCAACTGAGTCAACGGGAGTTGGCAAAAAGTCGAAGAATTGGGACCTGTTTTTGAGTGGACTGAAAAATGCCAAAAAGTCGTTCAAACATGAGAAAGACCAAAACATTACTCAGAAAGGAGGAGCTGATCCTGAAGATCATAAAAACCTCCCACGAGCAAAAACTCAGTACAACCAATTGCAGAAGCAAAAGATGTTTCACAACAAGACTACAAGAGATGTCCAGAACTGGATGGTTGGTGGTGACGTGCAAGAGGCTCAAGAGCAAAACAAATTTTTGAAATATTCTGATACAAGTACCATCTATTCAAACCAAGGAAAATGGGCAGAGGGAGGCTCGTGGCCCTCACACTTTTCATCCAACTCGTTTGAGGTGACCCATAGAAGGATTGGTGGAAAGGCTCAAGAGCCAGCTGTGAAAGAGGATTGCCTGGAAGAAATAAGGTCCAAAAAGAGTTTGTACGAGCGTTGGTTCCAGACGCACAAGACAGCCATCTCAGAGGCCCAACTGAAGGTCAAGGAACTCAAGAAGGGCAGCTTGATACCTAGCATTGGCACCTCCAGATGGAATGCAAGCAAGCTGAGGGAGATTTTCCAGTCCAATCACCAGGACGAAGACCAAGATGTCATCCAAGGGAAAAAGCTCACATATCATTGGATTTTGGAGCAGGAGGGCTTGATTGATAAGAGACTGGACAACGTAGCTATAGGCTTGCCTGCTGAGGAAGTTGAACATGAGACTTGGAAGTACGCAGACTTCATCAACGCCGTGTACCCTTGGGAAAAGACTTTTGAGGTTGAGTATGGTGATTGCTCATAAATAAATGAAGAACGTTATGTTTGAAATCATGCTTTATAATTAAAAAAAAATTACCAACTGAGAAACAATGGAAAGTAATTTACACTTAGACATTTAAATTTAGATATCGGAAGACACCCTTCTTTTCAATCTCTTTTCATTTTTCTTCAGGCACTTTAAGAGCTCTGTAAATGATGCAACCATATCTTCTGTTGTCACTTTTGATTTTGTCAAAACTTTGATCAGAGGACCACATTCATTTTTGATGAAATCTAGTTCGCCTGAAAAAAGAATTTATCAACTAATACAATATAAATCATGGTGTTCCTTACTCAATTCTGGGGAAAGAATCTCGACAACAATAGCATTTGTGAAAGTAACCTCTATAAACTCAAATTCCCAGGTAATCTAAAACAATCATTAGTATTTTTTAAGCCTTTAATTAGTGGTTCCTACCAAAATAGGTACAATCTTAGATGTAGCTGCAACTTTGAAAACTATCTTGTTAGACTCTTTCTTCAGTTTGACACCCACAAATTCGTTTCCAAATTTCTTTTGCAGTGTGAAGCAAACGTCAAATCGATTGTTGCAAACATTTTGGTACGTCTTCATGAGCTGTACTACCAGGGCAAGATTCTTCCGCTTTGAACACAGTGCAAAGCAGTCTTTGAGGGCCTGAGACTTGTCTTCATTTAAGAGTTGGCAGTTCAACTTAGAAATTTTATCCCTCTTTTGAGAGAAATCATTATGTTAGTAAAATAATCAAATTTTAATTAATGAAAGACAAAACCTATACCTCAGAAAATGAAATGGTAAAATCAGGAGCGTTCTCTTCATGTAGTAGTCTCATTGTCAGATCATAATTGGTTCTCCTTTCTTTCTCCTCGTATGAGCTCTTTGCCTTTATAATTTTTGCACCAAGCACCATACTGGAGAATTCAGTCTCTTTTAGCATTTCTTCGTATTTGTTACCATCAGATTTCAAAGATTTGATGTGGGCATAGATAGGTCTAGGTAAAAATGCAAAAGTAAAAATATTGTAAGACAATTCAAAATGACAAGTTAACAAACCTGCGAACACTATTTTGGGCATCCCTGAGAGTATATGGCGCAGCAGGAGTTTCGCTGGCTTGGAGCATTTCAAATCTTTTGCTCTCGATCATTTCTTTCAAACTCTGGATCATCTGCTCCTCCTCTCTAATGTTATCCAGAAGCGCATTCCTTTCCTTTTCTTCATTCCTTTTCTGTTCTGCATTTCTAGCACGCTCACGCTCATCATCTGAAGAAGAAGGAGCAGGTCGAGTAGGAGCAGGTTGAGCAACAGCTACTTTCTTCTTTTGTTTTTTAACAGAAGAGCCTGCTTTGCTTGAAACTGCTTTTTTGGCACGTCCAAGTCCAGCTTGTTTCTTCTTTGGCGGCATATTGCTCTGTAAAGTTGATTTTGGAACTTCTTTAGTTAATGACAAGAATAATTATTTATGTTTATTGTTCATTATAATGCATTAATTAATGCAGCAAAAATACTGGAGGATCCATACATATTAGTTATGTGCATACCTTGATTGAAACAACCTATGTAATACATAGGTTGCTTGATTTATGTACTATGAAAAAATATATTGTATGACATGTATATATTATATAAGAAAAAAAATTGCGAGCGCAATTTGTATTGCTTTTTACTTACATAATTATGTATAATTCAGTTCCTTCAACTGTTGCTGTTTTGATTTGAGTTTTGAATGAATTTTGAATGTTTTTTGACTGACGCCAGATGCCACGCCCACGCAAACAATGAAGTATGCAAAACTTATCAAAATTGACAATACTTTTGAATTTATAAAATGCATGGTGATGAAGTTTTTAAATATGATACATACTGTCACTAAAGCTTGCAATTTAAAAAAAATTGACTGACACTACATAATTTTTTGTACGTGCATAGTGCATAAAGTCATATTTCCAGGGTTCTCATTATAGTGGCTGCCTTGAGTATTGAATTCTTTTTGTCAACAAACACGGCACAGTGGCACACGCTGAATTAAAATCCACGTGTGTTCGGGATCTTGTTTTTATTTTTCCTCTGAGACTGAAAATACATTGCACAGCGAGCTGGTATGTCTTAAAAAAGTTTTGCAGATAAATAATTTTTTATTTCTTAACATACACATTACATAATTTCAATGTTTTCAATTACTATCCAGACCGTGTTTTACTCCAAAATGAAGTCGAACCATTTCTTGGAGGGCGATCTCGCTGGAGAAGCGCCTCCGAAATGGTACCAAAACGAGCCGAAGATTGATTGTAAAGAAGCTAAAACTGAAGACGATCAAAATCTAATTTTTAAATACACGAAGCTGGCAGAAAATCTATTTGCTGAGGAAGTCTTAAGGTATGACTTAAAAACATACAGATTACATTATGTATGTTACATACACAATATTATCATTTAATAACCTAAATAGCTACATATTCTGACGAAAAGTTCACTAACACTGTGTGTGGTCTCAAAACTTTAACTGATTCTAGGTTTAACAACAAACAGCTAGGCAAAAACCGGTACCAAAACAACTGGATGCAAACTATCATGAGCAAAGGCACACTTGGGGATAAAGTTGCTGCCCAAATCGTCCAAGTTCAGAACTCTCCTCTGCATTCTTTGTCTGCACTTAGTAGCCTTATTGGAATGGTTAAAGTTGGCAAGAAAAAGGAGAGCCTGCAAGTGATGGAAAATTTAGTCGAGCTCTGGCTGAATGACTTACTAAGGCCGGACACTAAACTGATTCCATTTAATGCAAGGCCTTTGGCTGCCTTAGAGAAACTTGACCAAACCCAGAGTGCCAAGTGCTTATTGTACTGGTGGTTTGAGGGAAAGTTGAAGGATCAGTACACCAACTTTGTAAAGGCATTGGACCAGATTTCTAAAGATTCCGTCGATAGCATTAAAGTAATATTGCATTAATTAATTAAGGAGCAAATTGTTTCTAACTAAATTCTATTGCAGAGCAAAGCAATAAGCTGTCTGAGTCAGTTGCTCACAGCCAACCCTGAGCAGGAACAGCTGATCCTGTCCCAGCTTGTGAACAAATTGGGAGACCCTCAACAGGCCATTGCCAGTAAAACAATGCATGACTTACAACAAGTTCTGCGGAAACACCCAAATATGCAGCCAGTGGTGCTCGAGGAGGTCGAGAGAATGATTTTCAGGCCGAACATTCAAAGCAAAGCCCAGTACTATGCAGTTTGTTTCTTGGTACAATTCCACTTGAGTCACGAGGATAAGAAATTGGCAACGGCCATGATCAATTTGTACTTCTGCCTCTTCAAAGTGAGTAACTTTTTTAATTGCAACATTTTCTCTAACATGGATTTTATCAACAGGTCTGTATAAATAAAGGGGAACTTGAGTCAAAATTGTTACAAATCCTTTTGAACGGTGTAAAACGAGCGTTCCCATATGCAAAAGACTCATTCGTCGGCACACTTGCTGACCACTTGGACACCCTGCACAAATTGATTCATGTGTCATCTTTTGGCATTGCCCTGCACGCTCTTTGTCTTCTTTACCAAGTGGCACAGGCCTCCAGCTTGATTGAGGACAGATTCTATAGTTCCCTGTACAAGAAGTTGCTCGACCCTGAGGTCATCAAGACAAAGCACCACGCTCTTTTCCTCAATATTGTGTATAAATCCGTCAATAAAGACACCCAAATTCCGAGGGCCCAAGCATTCATCAAGAGGCTTCTCCAGTTGGCACTTTCAGCCCCATGCAATTTGGCCAGCTCACTGCTCTACCTGATATCGCAGCTGGTTAGCAAGAGGAAGGACTTGATCACCTTGGAAACCAAAAGTGTGATTCATAATTATATATATTTATAAACTTAAGAAGAAAATAATTAAAATTTTATTATTTGTAGCTGGAGAAGAGAGAGCCAAGTTTGATGATGATGATGAAGATGACGAAGAAAAATACGTGGACGTTAAATTAGATGACGAGGAAAAACAATCAGAAAATCCTTTGCCAAAACCTTCAGGATCATGGTCATGGGTTGCAGAAAACAAGGGGCAGAAGTCAAAAAGTGATCAGACAGATTACCAGCCGTTCACCAGAAACCCAACGTTTGCCCGCGCAGAGAAAGTTGGCCTGCGAGAATTGTCCCTTTTGGCCAATCACCACCACCCAACGGTTGCTTTGTTTGCACAAAATATTCTCAACGGGGAAAATATTCGTTACTCTGGAGACATGCTTGTTGATTTTTCTGCTACAAGGTTTCTTGACAGATTCTGTTTCAAGAACCCCAAGAAGGAGTCGTTGAAAGAACACATTTTCTCCCGAACTAGCCAATACCAGCCTAAGGGTATAAGGTCTTTGAGAGTTAACAGTACAAGGTGAATTATTATTTACTTTTTTTTAATTCGCTACTAAATCTCTCCCATTTTTAGATATCTGAACATGGCAGAGGACCAAATTCCGAAGGAAGATCTGTTCTTATACCAGTACATGCAGAAGAAAATGCAGTCACTCTCTGAGAAAAAGGAAGCGGAAGGAGAAGAAGAAAGTGACAATGAGAGTGTGAACAGTGAAGAGTTTGAAAAAATGCTCTTCGGCAATAGAAAGGATGATGATTCGGATGAAGATGAGGAGGACGAGGAGCAAGACGCTGGATTGATTGATTTTGAACAGGAAGTAGAAGAGGCTGAGAAAAAGAACAAGGGCACTAAGAAGAAGAAAAAGAGGCAGCTGACCGAAGACGACATGGATGATGATATGAGTGACGAGGGCGGATTGCCCAGTGACTTTGCCACAGCTGACCAGTTTGCTGAAATGCTGCAGAATGCGGGTATTGAGGACGTGGACATGGCGGGTTCCTCTGCTGTCAGAAATGCTGATAATTCACATGTGAAGCAACTTCGATGGGAGCAAGACAGAGAGAAACGTTTTAGAGGCGCTGGTCAAAAGTGGAAACAAAAAGGCCGGCCCAACATTATCAAAGGAAAGAAAAAGAGAACAAAATGAAAATGATTTTTGATGCAATGTAATTTTTAGGTTTACTCACTCGAAAGAAAATAAAATTTTAATTAACAATTAACTCAAAAAATTTTGGTATAAGATTTTTAACCCAAAGTGAAGTGAGGAGATTGATTATAAATATAAATAATCTTTATTTCGTGATTGTTTATATAAAACTCTGAGACTAATACACCACAGCCCTGACTGGAAATCAATTCATATTTTACTTAAATTTAAATAAAGCTGCACTCTGAAAATGTAATTGTTCAATAATTAATTCAAGAAAAACAAAATTTAATATTTAACATATCATTTCTTTTCTATGGATTTAAAAGAAATGATAATGTAATGAGAATAAGACACATGAATTTTGAGTAATTTTCAATGCTAATTTTGAGCACGGGTTTTGGTCGAGCAGCTTCAGCCGCGCCGCTCATCCCCACCATGCTATTTATTATGACTGGCACTTGGCAGGCAGCATGAGAGATGAAACCTCGGCGGCTCATTCAGTGCGCTGTTGAAGTAGCAGTATATTGGTGCGCGTTTTTCAGTGTGCTCTTCTCGCCGGTGTGATTTTTTGTGTTTCGATCTGTTTCTTTACGTACACAAGTGGTGCTGTCCAGTCAGAATCTGGCCATGCATTATTCAGTGCAATCAGACACTCAGTGATATTTAAGTGACCGACGATATTCGGACAAAACAGGACTCAAAACAATGGATTTGGGGAGCGCAATCGTCGCCGTCGGCAGGGCGTCCAAGCGCTCCAAAATCGGACGAAAGTTGTCCCGACGGCTGTCCATGGTGGCTAAGGTGCCGTCTTTGATACAGACAAAATTCCGCACCAGTGACAGTCCGCAGCAACATGGCAGCAGGTCGTCGAGGAGCCACAGTGTGCGGCACGTGCCACGCAATTTTGAGATTACCATTATTGCTCCAGACAAGACGCAGAGATTGGTGAGTTTCCATGAAGACTAGAAAATATTTTTAATCACGTGGCTTTTTTTTAGAGAAATCATGCTTTTTAATTTATTGACTGAAAAATATAATTTTTATTAAAAATAATAATATCAAATTATTTATATTATTTTTAATTAATTGATTTCAAAAAACAAAAATAAGCGGGCAATGCTTGAATGAGTCAATTAAACGAAAAAGTAAGAAATGATTTATTGAAAAATGAAGAATTTTTGGGGGGCTCCGTTTTAAAAGTCAAGAGGGCGGCCAATCAAACACTCCTAATTCCTATAAATATGCATAAAATTACTCTGAAGCGTTGATTCATTCACATAAATTTGAACAAAACAAAATTGTCTTATTTTGAAATTTTTTTATGATGAAGAACAAATATTGACTTATTTGTGTGATGAAACTTTGGTGTCTTTTTCACATTATATTTTGTATAAACACACTCAATTATAAAAATAACCAGTTTTTATCACGCTCATATTTCTAGAGTTAGAAAATTTGAAAAAACCACAGATTTCTTTTTATAATTTTTTTCATAAGAATAATTATCTTTAGATAATTCCAAAATACTATGCTATGAGAATGAGCTAAAAATTAAAAATATTTGAATGAAAAGAAAAATTTCAACAAGACGAAGAACTTTAAAAACCTTAAAATTTAATATATCGGAGGTACATGAGGAAAATTATACTGTTTAATTTAAACGCATAAAAACAATTATTTAATATTCCATAGGTAAAAACGTTTCATCTCTTTTCCCAAAAAAATTACTATTTATCTGCCACTTACTATTACTTTCATTCGGGATGTCATTCGAACAATATGAATCTGCGCAGACCGTTTGAGCAAAAATGATTTTATGTGTTTCCTTCAACGCAATTGATGCAAATTGCAAAGTGATGAATTCTAAAAAGTCAACAACACATTATTTGTCTGGAGAATAGAAGCCTGAGGGCAGAGTTAAACAAAATTTCCCCTTTGTACTCGCAAGAAATCGTCAGCATTGTCTCTCTGATCGCGCCGAAGTCGGACTAATTTGTGTTCAGAAAGTTGAACTTTTCAATGGCCATATTAGCCGATTGTCAACAAAGAGCGCGCTGATTCACGTGCTCTTTGCGATCTCATTTGGGATTCCGCGTCTCTCTTTCTCTCATCACCAGACTATCGTCGATCGATCGTTCTTGTCCAACAACAACACGTTTATTTACCAGCTATGTACTTTTTTTTGCCATTCATTCGCGGCCGGCCGCGGGCGGATATGCAGCGAGCAGCCAAGATTCCTAATTCACTGCACGTCCGCGCGACTTACTGTATTAGTTCTCTAGAGTGCATTTCGAGAGAGAGATGCACTTGCCGTACTTCAAGTTACCATAACTGATTGAGAGACAACCGACCGTCCGCTGAGGCGAAATCAATTTTTCCAGCTGAATTAGTGTACGCTGGACTGACTGACTTTGGGAAATTTGATTGTATTGTAGTAAATTGATTTGACCAGATCGCCATGCCTTGAATGCTTACACGCAACTCTGCACTTGAATTTTGCAAATTCTCAAGCTTGATGTGAACACAATTCTAATTGTAAGTCAAATAATCCGGTTTATCTATTGAGGATCAATAATTTTTTAAACTCTAATACTCGCCAAACTTATAACACTTTTTTTTTAATTAGAAAAGTGATAGAAAGACAAAGTTAATAAATAATTTTGAAAGATATTTTTATTTAATATTAATAATTATTTAATTAATGTTCAATGCTCATTAAGCCAATAAATAATTCAATAAAATGGACGAATAATTTCAATAACAGAGGTTAATTTGTTTGAATTTAATAATGTATTTAAAAGAATTACTAACATTTTTATAAAATAATTCAAATATTGACAAACACATATTTTCTGGCTAAATATCAATGAATATAGATTGTAATACTAATTAGTTAAACCCTTTTATTATTTAATAATTGTATTTAATATTTTATTTTATTTACCAAGAAAAGAATTCTAATTATTCATAAAAATGAGCCAAATCAAATAAGTTTTTATTTCACCCTTGGATCTAATTTGCAGCTTGCATGTCAAAGTAAGTTGAAGGAAAACAAAGTCAAAGCTGACAACCAATCAATCTATTGGTTGAGGACAACGCCAATTTTACTGCTGTGTCATAAAAGTTCTCAATAACTGTGCAAAAGGCGCAGAATAACAGAGACTGTCTATTACATAATATTCAGAACTGGTGGACGTATCAATTTCATGTTTTCGAGTCCACTTTTTATTTTCATGGATATATTAATGCGTTCGTTGTCATTGTTCCAGAAGAGAAAATAATGTGGGTATAAAGTGTCACTTGTCGTTTGGATTGATTTCCCGCGACCGAAAAAGAACGAACTAATCACGTTGTGACTCGAAACTGTGACACTTCACATCCGTAGATTGCTTCCATGTATGGATTAGGAGGAGAAACACACAGCAGATGAGCCTAATTGCGAGGGACCGCCGAAATAATTAGGCAAATGATTGCGTCTCTCCGTAACAGTAAACTTCTTGGAATTTTTCTCCGGCAGTCCTAGTTGGCGTGTGCGGTGCGTTTTGATTTATGCACACGTTCTCGCTAATTCACGGCGCTAAATACAGCAGGCAAAGGAGACACAGCAGCCAGTCAGTCACTGACCTAGAATCTTTTTGCTCGCACATGGTCATGCAAAGGCCTCTCAAACGGCTGGACACAAGCCTCGGGTGCCGTTTCTAGCGAACCGACCAGCCACTGACGAAACATGAAGCAAATTAAAAATAAAAAAATCGTCCAGTGCCGAGCCTTCTTGCGTGCTGAATGTCAAAGTCATACCATACTTGCAAGAGCTCCAGGGTCTGCCATGTGGTCTGCGAGATGAAACGACGACAATTTTTTAGCAAAAAATCTGATATCTAATCATTTTAAAATACAAAAATTAATTTCAACATCAAAACTATTTTTGAATTCTAAAATTAAAAAAAAACACTTGTTTCAAAAGTCTTTAGAATAAAATGTTTAAATTTAATTTAAAATAATTATGGTGAAGAAATGTTTCATAAGTTTTTTTCTTAACTATGTTCGATAACAAAAATCCATCATAATAAATTTTTTTGCCTGAACAAAACCAACATTTTTATTTCCTTCGAATTCTTCGATAGATAATATAATACTTAACGTTTACTTTTTACTTAATAAAATTAGTGTCTGTTCCTCTTTTACTTGATTACTTTATTACCTTCCTCTTCTTTTCTCTTCAAATCGAAAATTCTTGAACGAATTTTGTGTCAACCCACAAGTTTAGAAAGTTTGATTGAACTTATGTGATGAGGAAAAGTGCGCTTCCTTTTGTGTGCTCTTTGCGGTGCCACAAATATTTTTATTGGGCGGTGATTTCGTTCCAAGTTAACGAGCAATAAAGTGGCAGCGGTGGCGTAATTACTGCGTTACAATTTGTGTGCTCCTGTTAGCTGATCTTTGCCCTGGAAGGAAAACAATACAAATTAATGAGAAGCTCCTTACACGCGACCCTCATCCGCAAAACAAACAGGATACACCACGGTCCTCAAGTTTAAGGCTGGGTTAGCAGGAAAAGTTCAAAAATAAATATTTTACCGTTATAGGTCTACCAATAATATACATACACACCGAAGTTTTGGCTGTTTTGACTTATGACACAAAGAAATAATTCTTCATCTTGTAGAAAAATAATTTGTTAAGGATTTTCTTTCTTCTGTGTATATTTATTTTTTTTATAAATATTCAACTCAAGTCTTGTAAAAAATTTGAAGTGGACTACTTTTTGTTAGCACACTTTTGATTAATTAAAATTAATAATTTTTAATTTTTACAAACAAAAAATTAGCAACTTAATCACGTACGAGTAGTTTAGTCAATTATATAAACTAATTGTATGTTTGTATCAAATTGTTCCAAATTTTTGGATATTCCGAGTAGACGCCTTTTGATATAACAGCCGCTTGATAATTGCAGAGCGGAGTGGAACGGCCAGACTGGTGATCCAGTTTAGCCGCGCGGCAAATTATTATCATTCCACCTGAATAAAGGTGGCACATCGTCGGTTGGTTATTATAAATTAGATGGGTCAATAAAGCTTCGTTCTCGGCGCAGGCAGACTAGTCCAAATATCGTACCTAAGAAGTGATGCAACTGCCGCCAGCAACTTTTGACCGTTAACCAGGAGATCATTTGGCCACATGGCAAGGTCCCTGCTCGCGGCCTAATCGTCGGCAGCCGGACCCAAGGCGGCCAACTTTTCAATTTAATTCTTATTGATTATTTGTGACTCATGCCGTAAATTAATTAAGTTATACTCATGAATTTTTCATTCAAGCTTCGCGTTCTATTTCAGAGTATTTAGTGCAAAAGTGATTTATTTTTACTTAATTGTTTGTTAGTTTTGCATAAGAAACTAAAAATCTCAAAATCAGCACTTGGATCTTGGATTGGTAATTGTTCACACAAATCAAGAGAAATTTGAGAAATTTTGCTTAATCTAATTGACGATTCTTTTCTGAGAATCGATTTGCAGGTTCAATAATTTAGTTTTTATCTGTAAAGCGATGCGAATAAAGTCCATAGACAAAAATAGAGTAAAAGTTATGGCATAATTAGGTGGAACCATGTTTGGCCAGAACTTTTTAATATTAATGTCAAAAAAAAAGTAATTAAAAATTTAACGTCTAATATTGAACTAAAGTTACACCACGTAATTAATAACAAAATGTTGCCATCAGTGTTAATTACCGTATGCAATCGATTTAATTGTAATGCATTCTTCCAAGTTAATTCTGCGCAATCATCTTTCAAGCAATATAATTTGATTTCTCAACAAACTTATCGCAATAAACTCTTGCACGCGCCAAAATAACCACGAGTTATTGAGCGCATTTCAGAATTATTTATTACACCTCCATCTACCACAACGGAAACAATCAATCAGTCTCTGTAAAACAAGTGTT